AACCCCACCCCCTACTCCCAAATATAATCCACTCTGCAACCCTCATTGCATACTCCTACGATAAAAATAATGCCCTAAAATAGAATACTTTTAATTGAAGTTGTTATTGATTGCCGTCGAGTAGAGCTCGACACGTAGTGACCCTGTGGACAAAAGACCTGAAGCCTTTCTATAACTATCGTTGTTTCTCAAAGTTCAGAAGTAACTAAGAAAACAAATTTAGATTGAATTTTTAAGAGTAATTTCCTAAATGATAACAAATATGTACATTTTGTCCCAGTATGAAATGTCAAATTAATATCCATTCTAACTATGAAAAATAAGATGACAAGAGGATTGTGAAATCAATTTAAAAATTCTGTACAACCTTGATTACAGCAATGGGCTTCTGCACAGTAGTAGTGAGGGTGGCACAGGATCAGGCAGGATTTAGTTCTGTTGCTCATAGATTGACAATGAGCTGGCACCGACTTGATAGTGCTGACAGACTTGATAGTGCTGAACAGTAGTCAGTGTGGGTAGTCTTGGAGTCTGACTTGTTTGTTTACAGGAAGGGTAGATAAAGCAACTTTATCCCATCACTCTTTTAAAAAATTACTGGTAAAAAAAAAAAAAAAAAAAAAAAAAAAAATTACTGGTTTTACCTATCTTGTAGGTGTATGAGCCTGTAGAATGAAATCTTCCAAGATGATCTGGTGTACTTTAATCATTGGGATTTTACTTCCTCAGTCTTTGGCCCATCCAGGGTTTTTTACTTCTATTGGTAAGTTGTAAATTTTATTTGTTGTTTTTCATTTAAAGATTTTTTTTTTCCCTTTCAGGTTTTTAAAGCTTTGAAAACAATACAGTATATTCCTAGAGACTATATAAAAAAAATTGAAAAAAAACCCCACAAACATTGATCTAGTTCTGTTTTTTCTTAAAGTTCCTTTAAAATGAGCATTTTCTGATTTAAAATATCATGGATTTATAGGCTTGACATACAGGAAAATTAGAAAAGCAAACCAAATAAAATGATATATGATGGGTCTGGTCAAGTATAACCATTGCATATATTTTAATACACACAGTTAGTCTTTTTTTACTAAACACATATGTAAAGAATGTACTGTGCATTATTTTGTAGCCTACTAAATTATTTTGTAATAAACTATTAAAATAGTTATTGGCTAAAGAGAAAAAAATGAGAATTACATAAAATATAAAACCTCTTCCTGTCCTTGTGACTTAAATGTTTTTAATAATTTGATGTGTAGTTCTGCGTAATTGAGATGTCTTAAATGAGATACTTCATCCTATTGGCTAGTTTTATATTTGTATAATTTTGAATGTAAAACAAACAAAAAAGATAAACTTATAATACCTAGTTTCAGGATAGATAAATGGATCTTACTGTTTCATTAATATGAACAGATTCCCCCCAGTTTTAGTTGTGAAGCTCTGTTATTAGTGTAGTTTAATTCACTGAATAAAATTTTAGTTCTAGTTTAACATAAAAAACAAAATTAAAAAAAGTGAGGAAGAAGAAACTTTAATCCTTGGAAAATATTTTGTTTTGTAATTAATAAATAAATTTACAGATGAAAGGTTACCTGGTCAGTATAGTCCAATTTTGTGAAAACTATGAAAATTAGAACTGACACAGAATTAGAAAAGTATTTGGTATTATACTTATTTGATAAAAAATATACTCTCAAACATGGTATTCACACCAATTAAGTTTTCATGGAATTAAACATTCTTGATTATTATGAAATTGTTTTTAAAAACTTGTGTTAATGAACATGAGTATTTAATAACTTTGTCTTTGTCTTCCCCTTCCAGGTCAGATGACAGATTTAATCTACATTGAGAAAGATCTGGTGACCTCTTTGAAAGACTATATTAAAGCAGAAGAGGACAAACTAGAACAAATAAAAAAGTATGTGAAGTTTTTACTAGTGAAGGTTCTGATGCTACCTGAATGTTTCCTTTCCAGAGCTAAAATGTACTTTTTAAGTGGAAATGAAAACCACCTGTCAGTCTTACACAAGATCAAAGGCTGAAATGGCTAAAGTAGAATTACAGAAAACAAGAGTTAGAGTTGTGCCAAATGTTCAAGTGAATCAACATGGGCTGAGATAATTTGATGGGTGGGGACAGTTGACTGATGCTTTAAAAAATAGTTGCCAATATCTTTAATTTGCTCAGTCTAGCTATCTAGCGGTGTAGTTTTTCCAATTGTATTTATGCTTCTTTATTCCTATAGTTCTGTTAGGGAGATTTGGTGATAAGTGTAGTTAGTATTATTTAAATGGTAAGGTTCTTCTCAAATGCTGATTTGTTTTTAATTGATTCATGACCTAAGAATTCTTGCTGTTTGTTCAGTGAGGAGCTAAATATTTGAGTTTTTGTCTTAAAATAGTTTCTTGGTGCTAAATGCAGAATTTTGGTATACATCTGAATTAAACTGTAGTTGAATTTGGTCTGATTTGCACTGTACGATGATCACTTAATTTTTAGAGTTTATAAGGTTGATTTTAGATTCTTATGAGAAGTGGGTGGGAAATCCCAGTAACAACTTTTATTGTAATCATATGGGAGAAATAAACAAAACTCAAAAAGATTCTAGTTGTATTTGGATTAAAAAAGCTATTTTGACTATGTCAAAATAAATTTTATTCTTAAGAGAATCTATAGAAGTTTATTTTAAAAAGAAATTATAGGTGTATTATTAACTCACAAACCTCTAATCGAGTATCTCTTTTTTGTGTGAGCATTTATCTATTTGGGCTTTCCATTATTAAGTGTATATATAGTGTATATATACTACATGTATATGTCTTACATGTATAGATGGGCAGAGAAGTTAGATCAGTTAACCAGCACAGCGACAAAAGATCCAGAGGGATTTGTTGGACACCCTGTGAATGCATTCAAGTTAATGAAACGTCTGAACACTGAGTGGAGTGAGTTGGAGAATCTGGTCCTTAAGGATATGTCAGATGGTAAGTTTAAGGAGACTGATGAGCAAAGAAATATTAAGGCATTATTGTACACACCTTATACAAATGAAAAACTTAGTGATAAATTTAGTTCCTGGAACATTATGTTCATGTCGTAACTAAATTATTGCTTGAGTGTGTTGGTATAGAAGCCCCACAAAACCAAAAAGTCGGCAGTTAAAACCCATCAGCTTCTCCGTGGGAGGAAGATGTGGAAGTTGGTTCCACAGAGATGCACAGCCTTGGAAACCACCTGGGACAGTTCTGATCTTTCTAAGTGTTGCTGTGAGTCGGTATAGACCTAATGGCAGTAGGTTTGGGTTTGGCTAGTTAATTTAGGCAAGAATCCGGAATTCTTTCATCCCTGCCCCCCTCCCCCATGGGTAATTTCTCCTCTTGGTGACTAATGTTTATGTCTTTTTGCTTTGAAATCTAAAAAGTGATTAGCTTATTTGGCATAGGCATATAGCTTCATTTCTGAGGATAATTTTTCTGTAACCCTCAGATTTAAAAAAATTTGTTCATGCTTTTTTATAATGTTTTAATAATTTTTTAATGGGCTGACAGTGATACCAGTGTTGGTTCTTTTCTCCCTAGAAAGTGAAGTTTAGGATTATTTAATGTAATGCAATGGCATCTCTATGGAGATAGAGAATGGTACTAGGTAAAATTTAGAGAAGAGTCACATAGAAATGACAGTTGATAAAGTTTTTATTCAGTGTTTTCAGCAGAAACACATTAGTTTTTAGAAAAATAGCCCTTATAATAGTTACAACAACTAAAACATTTTTTTAGTAAACTCAGCTTGCATGTAACTGTACTTATAAGGCTAAAACTCTATACTAATTCACTTTTTGAACATTCTAATGCAATTTACAGCCTATGAAAACCTGCTGGAGGATCAGCTATGATTTGCTTCCCACTCAACAGCACCTAACAGCAATAATGTGCTCGTATTAGAGCAGCTATTACTAAGTTACTGTGATGCTTCACATCATGTGGTTTTATCGGCATATGCTTACTGTTGTTTTCTTCTGGAGTTTTTATGGTTGTTGATTTTGTTGTTTTAGCTAAAATATTGTGGTAATTAGTATTTGTAAACCTACATCAACCTTATGTGAATCTCTATAAAAAATAGTAATAAGTAAGACTTTTTAAGGGAAACAACAAATTTATACTTGGACTTGAGAGGTTTCTCAAGTATTTTACTAATAAACACAGACAAGTAAGTATAGAATTTAATGGAATAAAGGAATTTAGTACATTATCTCTTAAAGAAACTGCAGCATACCTAAAAGGCTAAAGCTCTATGCCTATTTACTCTTTGGACCTTCTGAGTGCATCATATCAGAGCTTATTATTGCACATAACAGAAGCTCAGTGCATGTTGAATAATTGAAGGTGACAGAAAAATTTAATAAGATATATTGAGCTACATATATGAAACACCCCAAAGGCTTACAGGTGCTTATGAACAATGAATTAAAAAGAGGACACCATGAAAAGGAAAATTTTGCAAGTTTTTCTAATGAGGTGGAATCACATCTGAGTATTTTCTCTCCTACATAGCACTGTGAGAACATTTTTCCATTTTCATGTAATTATCTATATGACTTAAGTTCTAAGTTCTCTCAGTTATCAGCAATTTAATCTGTGATAGTCATCTTGTAATATGGTAGTATGTATACTTTGTCTTTTATTAGAGATAATTTAATTAATTTCTTAGGTTTGGGCCATATGAAACATTAGTCTTCTGTATAAGTTACACAACTTTCTTTTAAAATTCCATGTAGGGATTGTGACTAGAAGTTTGTTTTAAAATGAAAATATATACTTCATATGAACATTTAGTCATCTTCAAGCTGGTTGCTCATTTTTTATTTGTATAATTTCAGTAACATAAAAGTACCTAGCCTTTTGCTGAATAAAATACACATAGTTGATTGTAAGTAAATGAGAGGATGAGAAGGTCTTATACCTAAACTTGGTTTGCAAATGGTGATACATTATTAACATCTCGAATCACTTTTTGCTTCTTAAGGAGGGCTTGGTATTTAATTTTCAGAAGAGTATATTGTTATCAGTAATTGTTTTATTAGTTTTGTTTTTGCTATATCCTATATAAAACCTCTTTAAGATTGTAACTGCCATTGAGTTGATTCCAACTCATAGTGAGTGACCCTCTACTTGGTTTCCAAGGCTGTTAACATTACTGGAGAAGACTGCCTGTCTATCTCTTCAGGAATAGCTGGTGGATTTGAACTGCCGATCTTTCTACTAGCAGCCCAACACATTGTACACTATGCCACCAAGGTTTTGTTCTGTTCTTTAAGATTAGGTTTTATATATATAGCAAATATGGATTGATGAGTATTTATTCTTATTAAAAATATGTAAGTATTTTAATAAGCTGACTTATTTGTTTAGTAAAATGAAACATGGTTAAGTGTATTTTACTAAACTGTGAGACTGATGACTTTAAATATCTGTACCTTAACTTTGAAAAATTTCACTAGACTTCATTTATTATTATATAATTTGTGATATATGAGGGAGAAACAATTTTATTTCAGAGTATAGAATTTATTTGCCATCTGTTATCTAATTACCAATTACTGTAATTTTATAATGTTCAGATCTTTTAATTTCTAAAGTGTAGGAAAGGCACTTTTTGTTATCTCACTGTGTTTTTAAAAATTATATGTAATTGTAAAAACTCAATTATTATTCTACTTGATCTTTACCTCTTAATACAGATATAACTTATACAGTGACTTCAGATTACCTAGGGAACATTTAAAAGATTTTGAGGAGCAGTATGTCAAGTCTTATTCAGGGTATTTACTATGTTCTTGCTTGCTATATGGATCTTTCATGGTGTAGCAGGAAATGTAAAGATTTTGGGAAAATATTTGTGAAGTGTATATCTTTGAGTATAGAAGTCCCTATTTATTTTTCTTTTTCCTATTTCAAGGCTTTATCTCTAACCTAACCATTCAGAGACAGTTCTTCCCTAATGATGAAGATCAAGTTGGAGCAGCCAAAGCTTTATTGCGTCTTCAGGACACGTACAACTTGGAGACAGATACCATATCAAAAGGAAATCTCCCAGGTTAGAGAGTCCTCCCATTCTGTAAAACACTGTTGCTTGATTTCTCTGTGAAGTCTCTTCAGAGTGTTATTGTGAAAGAAAGGCTTGTGATTTAAGATTTCATAGCATTGAAGACAGAAGTCCCTTCCTGTAGGAAGTGATAGCTTGTTATTGTGAAACTAGTTTATTTAGAGATTAGCTTAAGTAGGCAATTTCGTTATGTAAGAAAAAAATAATTTTCCAAATATTTTTTCCAAAATGCCTGTTAATGTTTGGCTGCTTTGTATACAAAGTTATAAAGTAATTGAAAATCAAGTTCATATATTTAGTATGTAAAGACCAAGATGTGTTGGGTGGTGGTGGTGGTGGTGTTAAGTGCCGTCAAGTCGCTTGCGACTCATAGCGACCCTATGTACAACAGCCCTAAACTCTGCTCTCTCCTGTGCCAGTCCACTGTCTCTGACACTCCCATCCCGATTATCCCAGTCACTGATTCAATTCACCTCATAGAGGGCCTTCCCCTCCTGCGCCGTCCCTCCACCCTCCCAAGCATGATGTCCTTCTCCAAGAACCAGTCTCTCCTCACATGTCCAAAGTATGTTAGATGGAGCCTCAGAATCCTTGCCTCCAAGGAGCCACCCGGTTTAACTCTTTCCAGGACGAATCTGTTTGTTTTCCTAGCAGTCCATGATATCCTCAATACTCTTCTCCAACACCACAACTCAAAGGCATCAATTCTCCTTCTGTCTTCCTTGGTCATTGTCCAACTCTCTGATGTATAACAAGTGATTGTGAAGACCATGGCCTGTATCAAACGCACCTAAGCCAGAGAGACACCATTGCTCTTCAGTACAGAGGTCCCTAACAGCAGACTTTCCCATGGCAATATGCCTTTTAATTTCCTGGCCACTGGTGCCAAGACTGTTGACTGTGGAGCCAGGCAAACTAAAGCTGTGTACAATCTCAATCTCTTCACCATCCATCCTGATGCTGCCAATTGGTCCAGTGGTGAGAATCTCTGTCTTCTTGACATTGAACCTCAATCCATATTGGAGGCTGCAGTCCTTGACCCTCTGCAGCAGGTGCTTCAGGTCCTCTTCAGTTTCAGCAACAGGGTTGTGTCATCTGCATAACGCAGATTGTTGATAAATCGTCCACCAATCTTGACCCCACATTTCTCCTCATAGAGCCCAACCTCCCGGATAATCTGTTCTGCATATAGGTTGAAAAAGTATGGAGATAGGATGCATCCCTGGCGTATGCCCTTCCCAATTTTGAACCATGCAGTGTTCCCTTGCTCTGTTCTGACGACTGCCTCCTGGTCCAAGTATAGGTTTTGCATTAGAACGATCAAGTGTTCTGGGATTCCCATTCTTCTCAGAGTCAGCCACAGTTTGTTATGATCCACACAGTCAAATGCCTTTGCATAGTCAATGAAACACAGATAGACATTCCTCTGGTATTCTCTGCTTTCAGCTAAGATCCATCTAACATCAGCTACAATATCCCTAGTACCACCTAAACTTAGCCTGGACTTCTGGTAGTTCTCTGTTGATGTGCTGTTCCGTTTTTAGATAATCTTCAGTAAAATCTTGCTTGCATGTGAAATCAGTGAGATTGTTCTATAGTTTCCATACTCTGTTGGGTCACCTTTCTTTGGGATGGGAACAAATATAGATCTCTTCCAGTCAGTTGGCCAAGTGGTTGTTCTCCAGATTTCTTGGCACAACTTGGTGAGCACGTCCAGGGCAGCATCTGTTAACTGAAATATGTCAATTGGTATACCATCTATTCCTGGAGCCTTATTTTTGCCATTTCCTTCAAAGCAGCCTGAACTTCTTCTTTCATCACCATAGGCTCTTCCTCACATGTTGTTTCATGAAATTCTTCTGTGTCTGCCAAATCCTTTCGATACAGTGACTCAGTATATTCTTTCCATCTTCTTTTAATACTTCCTGGATCATTTAACATTCTGCCGAAAGCATCCTTGATTATAGTAACTCGAGGTTTGAATTTGTTCTTCAGTTCCTTGAGCTTAAGAAATGCTGAGTGAGTTCGGCCCTTTTGACTGGTACAGGAGGAGATTATCCCTCTTTCTCCAGCAGAGCATCTGGTGGATTCAAACTGCATACTTCTGGGATTGCAGTGCAGCTTCTTGCCACTAGGCCACCAGAGCTCCCCTGTGTTGGGTGTAGGTAGTCATAATATTAAAGTTCTGTAGTCAGCAACAACCTGCTTTCTGGCCTGTTTTTTGTAAAACTTTTTAAAGTGCAACTTATTATAATTTACCTTTGTAATCTTTTTTCCCCCTATTGATTGTTTCTTGTTATTGTTAGTATTTCCTTTAACTATCAACTGAGGAAGTAAAGAATGTAACCTCTGTCTTTACAATAATCCTTGGATAGCACAAATGATTAAACACTCAACTAACAGAATGGTTGATGGTTCAAGTCACACAAAGGCTCCTTGGAAGAAAGGCTTCATCTACTTCTGAAAGATCACAGACACACAGGTCACTGTATGGAGCACAATTCTACGCTGACATACTTGATGTCAGGATTGACTCTTAGAAGTGCTGCTTTCCTCATCACCATAAACAAAATGCCTCTACTAGATCAGTCTGGACAAATGAATCTTTATGTTCCTGTTTCACACTCCTGATAACCATATACATACATATGCACCTATTAATTTAATTTCAAAAGGTGAGATCATAACAGTATTGTTTTCTAGGTTTTGTCTTTTGTGAATGACCTATTTTCCTCCAGGGTCATCCACATTGAAAGATGTTTTAGAATGCATTTTTCCTTTTCCCCCATTCATTTATTCAGCAATTATTTACAATCTTAGTTCAGGTTTTCTTTCATTTTAAATTTTATATTGGTTTACATACAAAATTCATGTACATTGTTTTTCACATCAGATCTTTACCCATCCTTCTCTCCAAGGTAGTTTTTTTTTTTAATTGTAATTTTTTTTAACCACAGTTTACAGAAAAGTTGGATTTTCATTCATTTATTGTTGGACATTTTCCTCCCTATGCTCCTCAGTTCACTTAAAAAAAAATTCATTCATTGTTGCATAATTTCCTCCCTACCCCCACCAACTCATTTTTCTTAATGGCTGTGAAGTGTTGCATTGTACATGCTGTGTTGTTGTTAAGTGCCGTCGAGTCACAGGCGACTCCTAGTGACCCTATGAAGGAGAGTCCTTGACGCTTGGGTGCCTTTCATCCTCTCTCCAAGTTCATAGGGTTTCCGGAGGCAAGCTATTAATGGAAGTGGACGCCACTCCTCCTTCCACGGGCGTTGTACATATGTACCGTATTTTGCTAATTCTTTCACCCCTTTGTACTTGCATTGTTTCCTTCTGTTTGTTATTGTGAATAGTGCTGCACAGTAGTGAATAGTGAATGTAGTTGTACATATATTTTTCATGTTTCTTCCAGTATATCCCTAGTGTATATACTTAGAAGTGGAATTGCTTAGACATAAGGTTGTTTCTAATTTTTTGAAGACTTGTAATACTTAGGACACATTATTGGGGAACTGATTTTGTGCTACCAATCCAAAGGTCTTTACAATTTGAATCTACCAGCTGCTCCATGGGAGAAAGGTGGGTAATCTCCTTTTGTACTTCTGAAAACCCACTGGAAGATCAGCTCCGAGTCAGTTCCAACTTGATGATACTTAACCAACAGTCCCTAGAGAAAGACTTTTTGAAAAACACTTTCAAAAAGAAGATCAGCAGGAAAGAAGAAAACCCTTGGTGAGATTCACTAATACAGTGGTTTCAACTGTGATCTCAAATGTGGCAACTACAAGGATGGAGGGAGTATAAGTAATGTTTTGTTCTATCAGATATAGGACTACTGTGAGTAGGGAATGCTGGTGGTCTCTAGGGAGTTGCATTGCTAACCCAAACTAACCCAAAGATGCCACTTCTCTGGCAGTTCAAATCCACCAGCAGCTCTGCAGGAGGAAAAGAGGCAGTCTCCTCTTGAACAGTTTACACTCTCCCAAAAGCCCACTGGAGGGTCAGGTATAAGTCAATTCTGACTTGATAGCAATGAGCTAATTAGTTGGAACCAACTTGATAATATCTAACAACAAAATCAGTATGCTCCTGAGAAATACATCTCTTGTAAATACTGGCCCTATGGAGCCAAAAGACTCAAATCTTGGGGAACTTCAAGATCAACTGCCATATCATAGTCCACAAAGACAATATACTTCATCTTACTTGGTACCTAGTGACTGAGGTCTTAAAATCTCATGAGTGGCCATCTGAGTGTAACTGTTAGTTTCTGCTTTCTTGGATCTGAGAAGAGTAAAGAAAAAACCGAGAAGACTGACGTTGAGTCAGTTGTGACTCATATGGATCCTCATTGGATTTCAGAGACCGCAAATCTTCAGTGGAAGAGACTGCTGACCTTTTGTTTAGTAGCCTGATATGTTACGCAGTATGGCTCTAGGATTCTCTAGAAAAACCAAAGATGCATGGGAAGCCTTTTAAACTGTGAGGGAATACATTTCTGATTGTTAAAGCCTCCCACCTGTATTTCTGTTACAGCAGCGCTACATAACTAAGGCAGATTATTACTGGATATAGTATTTCTGAATATCTCACCAGTCTCTAGTATTTTTGATAAGCAGAAGCACTTAATTATTTGAAGGCCCAGTTACCTGATTTGTCTTCCTCTGTTTTCATTTTTTATAGTTGTATTTGATAATCTGTTATAAAGAAATAAAAAAATTCCATAGTTTTGCCCCTATAGTTGTTTGTGTTGTTTTCTTCTTTTGTTTTAAAAAGGACTTAATAGATTTAGCTTTAACTTCTCATTTATTTCTTTTTAATGGTATGAAGTACCAGTCTTTGTTTCTGCACATGCAGAGATTCAATTTTGCCAGCACTATTTATCGAAGAGAGAGCCCTAGAGATATGGTTCTGTGGAATTAATACTGCTAGAATTGCACCACATCTCTCTAGTAGTTTAAATCTACCAGCACCTCTGTTGGAGA